CCCCCTCTTTTTTTTTTATACAGGGTCTTGTAAATAATTCAGGCTGGCCTAGAACTCAAGCAATCCTCCTGACTCAGCCTCCCAAGTGCGAGGATTACAGGCATGTACCACCATGCCTGGCATGTGGTACTTTGTGCTTCTGAATGCATATTCAACTTGTGGATGAAATGGAAGAATAAAATTTTCCTTGCCAGGCACAAATGACGGCTCTTGGGAGGATCCCGGAAGCTGCTAGATGTAGAAGCCTTTAAAAAACCATAAAGCAAGTGTGGGGCCCAGGCAGGAGAATGTGAGTGTGTGCTGGGGTTATTGAGGCTGGCTGAGAAGTGGGTCCTGGGGAGTAGATTTGCCAGAGAGCCCCCGGCGTTTGCCTCTGCTCTGGAGCTGGAAGAAGGAGGGGAATAGTGTGGGTAGGAGGCGGAATCTCACAGGAGTCGTGATTTTTTGCAACATGTGAATGAATGCTGGAGACTTCTGATCACTAGGGAGCAATTCATTGTATGATTCCTTATAAAAATGCTGACAGTCCTGCAGAAAGCACCTTTCTGTAGTTATAAGAGTGATCAAAATACACAGTGAATGCTTAAATGAAAAAAATCTATTACAGTAAAAGACTCTTTGCCAGGGATCCTCCTCAGAATACTCCCACTCTCTTTGAGCACATTCATCCCATTGTTCCTGCCACTTTCTGAAGCAGCTCTGCAAGTCCTCTTTCGTGACTGTCTTTATGAGGCATGATCACAAATAGAGTGAATGCTGCTGCCTAGTGCCCCAAAATGGAAAGACAGGCTTGTAAAAATATGAAAGTGTGCCCTCGTCCACCTTATTCACCAGATGTGACACTGTGACTTTTGTCTCTTTCCCAAAATCAAAAGGACCATGAAAGGTAAATGTTTTGAATCAGGTCAGATGTTAAGGCAGCCATGACAGTACAACTGAAGATACTCATGAAAGATTTCCAGAGCTGCTTTAGAAAGTGGCTAGAATGATGGGATAAGTGCCTTGGAAGCAAGGGGAGTATTTTGAGGGGGAGTGTTATGGTTGATACATTGTGTCAACTTGAGGATTCTAAAGGCTTTGGCTAAGTGACTCAGCAGTTCTATATCCTGATTCTATATCCTCATCTTCCCGACTTAAGGCACCTATATGGCTGGTGTGTAGCTAAGTAATAGAGCTCATGCCTATCTTGTGCGAAGCCCTGGGTTCCATCCCCAGCTCATTAAAAAAAAAAAAAAAAAAAAAAAAAAAAAAGGAAGGCAGAAATACCTGTGTGATTGACTGGTTTAACTGCTTAAGAGAACTTACCCTCATTTCCTGGTTAAATTAGAAATAGATGAAAAAATTGTAGAGACATCCCTGAGTTTAAAAAAATGATTGAAGATGATTTTGCTTTGGGTCAGACTTTGGTTTTATTAACTTTTTTGCTGTGCTGGGGATGGAGCCCAGGGCTTGACATAGGTAAGGCAAGTGCTCTACCACTGAGCTACACCTCAGTCCTGGGTCAGACTTTTTCTTCTGGCCACTGTGGTTTCTGTTGGCATCAGATGTCCCAAGGGACCTCTGTCTCCAAGGAGGAAGCCCTTGGGCCAGGGTGAGGGCTGCCGAGGGCTGGTGATGGGCATAGGCGCACATGTTGGTGGAGAATTCAGGGCACTGGTATTTTTAATTAGGATTGCTCTCATTTCTGTTAGCGCCCAGATGCCAAAGTTGCATACGTTTTGAGGGGTCTGTTCTGGCTTTGATTTTCCCCTAATCTTGTTATTTTTTAATGCATGATTTTAAAAAAATGTCACATTGTGATGAAAGCATCTGCATTCACTCTTCCTCTGGAAGCCCTCTGCCTTTGGGGAGTGTTGGTGCCAATGAATTGCCCTGAGAGGGATGGATGCTGCCGCTAGAGGCGGGCAGAGGGACAGGGGGACCTGGGGCATCTGGTTCAGCACCCACAGGCCTCACTCCTTCCTCTGCTTCCCTCTTGGTTCCCAAAGTGCAGCCTCAAGGAGAGGAAAGGAAATGGGCTCTCAAGAGAACCGGCTCTGTGCCAGGCACTGGGCTGAAGGCGTGCGTAGTCATCTCCCGGAGTCTGGCACGATGGGTTCAAATCTGGGCTCTGCCACTTTCTAGCTGGGTAACCCTGGGCAGGTTATGGATTCTTTCTCTGCTTTGGCTTTCCCATCGGTAACATGGAGATTCTCATAGGGCCCAGCTCTGGGGCTTGTGGAGAGGGTTCAGCGAGATGGTAAGTGCTCATTCACTCAGCTGTCCATGGTTTTCTTTTCGTGGATCCCACCCACTCCGTGAGGTGAGTGTAATTGGTTAGACCAAGCAAGGCTAAGATGTGTTCAGAAGGACATTCCAAATGTGGTGGCTTCATCCAGGGGACAGTGGGAGTGGGGGAGGGCCAGGCCGGTGGCAGCGCTGCCATTCCTTCTGAGTCTGTGTGTCACATGACACACATGGTGTCTGATCCCTGCCATTGACCAGAACAGTCACTGGCTCTCCTGGCTGTTAGGAGACTGTGCCCCTGTCTAGACGTCTGTCCCTGTGGAGGACAGGAGAACAGAGTGTTGAGAAAAATGCCGGGGTGAGTGTTATGCCAGCTCACAACTGAGGAAGCGAATGGTGCTGCTAAGCCTCTGCTTCTGCGGGCTGCAGCTGTGGAAAGCACACTAGACTGTGAATGGAAACTATTTGGAAAAAAAAATCATCCGCATAGACCTTTTTGTTATTATTCCTTACATAATACAGTATACTATCTACAGAGAATTTATATTCTTTTTTTGAGACAGGGCTCACTAAATTGCTAAGGTGCCTGGTTGGGGTTGGTATCCTCCTGCCTCTGCCTCCCAGGCAGAGTGTTAGGATTACAGATGTGTGCCACCACAGCTGGCTAGGTGTTTCCATTGTATTAAGTATCATAAGTAATCTAGAGATGATTTAAACTATGCAGGCAGGTGTGCATAGGTTATATGACGGACCCGAACATCCTTGGATTTTGGTTTCCTCAGAGGTCCTGCAATGAATCCCCACAAATGCCAAGGGATGCTTGGAATGCAGACGGGATGTGCACCTGGATCTTCCCGTTCCTCAGCTCTGCCCTGGGCTGCCCGGTTCCATCACCAAGAGCTTCGTGGGCCCCAGCTGGGAATTCTCCTTAGATAGGAATCGAGGCTTCAGCGGGGCGCTGTCCCGTCCTCAATGCCCAGTGCTGAGGCCAAGTGTGGGCTTCGGAGTTTCTGCGAAGATGTTGGAGAGAACTGCAGACCCTGCCTTGGCTCCCACCCTTCCTGCGAGTCCCTTCACACCCTGGAACGAGCTCTTTCCCCTGCAGCCTGGCCACCCTCCCGCCAGAGCTTTGCTCTTCTCCCTCTCGGTCTTTGCGGTGTGCCCTTTCCTGTGACCTCTGAGTGCAGGCGTTCGTGGCGCACCTGCTTGCGGTGTAGTGCAGTGGCAGCTACAGGTTCTGCTCTGCCCGTGTTCAGAGGTGCCCACAGCATTCTCCACGTTGCTACAAGATAATCACAGCTGTATGGTGAGTGCTGCTGTCCCTCCAGTGCTGCTGCCCCTCGCCCACCTTCTGCTTGCCCCGAGGAGATGTTTCCAGGGTGTGAGTCTGAACCTGCAGCTACCCTGCTTAAAGCCATGCGTGGCACCCCAGGGCCTCTGGGACAACCAACAGGCATCCAGGCCTGACACCGAGGACATTCGCACACCTCTGCCCTCCTCTCCCCGCAGCAGTCAGGTCTTGGTGAGGTGCAGAATTCACTCCAGGTGGTTCCTGTAAAGAGACCCTAACGGAGCACTGACTTTGGGGCAGTAGGGTGCAGTCATCAAGGCAGCCAGGGTGCAGAGTCGGGGAACAAAAGCGCTGTGGGGGGAGGCACGGGAGTGAGAGGGAGCAGGGAAGAAACATGGGTGGTCACCACCTCAGCCACCACCTTCTCCTGTGAGTGCATCCCACTGGCTGAGAGCCCCGGGCCCAGGATGAGTGATCCCCCAGGAACTGAGAGCTGTGTGGAGATGGGTAGGAAGTGGGCCTGGCACTGCAGGGGTTCCCATGGAGGGCATCCACACAGCCCCGTCCCCACGTGCCATCCCTGGCGCAGGCCCCTTCGCAGTGGCTGTCCCTGCTAGGACACCAGCCGATCCTCTGTCGCAGAAACCCCCGATTGTCAGTCTACCTTCTAGCTCCTTTCTGGTGCCTCCATCCTTGTCTTCACCCCTGGCATGGGGCCTGCATGCCTGTGCCTCCCTGCCCTGCCCAGGGCTGAGCTTCTCCCGGGGTGACCCCATGCTGGGAGGGGTGAGAGGGGATGATGGGGTTGGTGGGGCACTGGCCAGGGTGCAAAGTGTAAGTGGGGAAGGGAGCGGGTTTGCCAAAAATCCTAGTGCTCAAGACATGATATTTTAATGTATTTTAAATAGTTAAATCAATAAACTACAGCCCATGGGACAGTGCCTATTTTATTTGACTTTCTACCCAAATGGGAATGGCCCCCTAGAGGTACTCTCGTGTGGTGTTTAAACTTTCTTTCCTTTCTCCTTTTCTTTTCCTTTCTTTCTCCCTCTCTCCATCCCTCCCTCTCGCCCCTCCTTTTCTCCTCCTCCTCTTCTTCCTCTTCCTCCTCTTCCTCCTCTTCCTCCTCCTCCTCTCTCTCTCTGTCTCAGTACTAGGAAGTCAACCTGGTCTTCACACTGAGCTACATCCTCAGCCCCGTAATAGTCTTTATTTTGAGAGAGGATCTCACTAAATTACCCACCTGGGCTTGAACTTGGTGGGATCCTCCTGCCTCAGCCTCCCAGAAGGATTACAAGTGTTCCTGCTGGGAGGAGCCTTGTCTACCTTGTCACTGCTGTCTGCTCAGCTCTGAGAGCAGCACCTGGCCTGTGGAAGAGGCTTCGTAATGAACTGCTGGATGAGTGAAAGGGTGCTGAACACAGGGATTTAGGACTCCCCAAAGTTGGCTTCTCTAACTGGCTTGTTTTCTTCCTTGTCTCAGCTTGTCTTGGGGCCCCAGCCTTGCCCAGGACGCCCTGGAGCTGCTACCATGTATGCCTCAGTGGGCTTGCTGCTCCCGGTCCTGCTGCTCCTGCTGCCCTGCGTCCCTGGACTGCCCTTCTACAACGGCTTCTACTACAACCCTGGCGGCAGAAAGCTGGGCAGTGGCCACAGGGAAGGTGCGTGTCCCCAGGCCTGTCCCCTGACTCCTGGGGTGAAGACAGAGCACCGTGCAGCAACCTCCGGGCTCTTAGGGCAGACCAGCCTCCCTTCTAGGATGAGAAGAAGAGGTGGCTTAGCTGCTCTGGGTTTTTATTTGATTTGTTTTTGTTTTGTTTTTTGTTTTTTTCCAGTACCTGGAATCGAACTCACGACCTCACGCTTGCCAGGCAGGCTCTGTGCCACTGAGCTAAATCCCTAGCCCCTTGGGTTTTTATTTGAGACAAAGTCTCTCTAAGTAGCCCAGGCTGGCCTTGAACTTGCAATCTTCTAGCTTCAGCCTCCCAGGTAGTTGGGGTTACAGATGTGACTCATCAGCTAGCTTTTGATGCACAACAAACCATCCCTAAATGTAGTGGGTTGAGACAACAGACCTTTCCTTAAGGCACAGGTCCACAGCTCAGTGTTGGGGAGGGGGCAGCTGGGTGCCTGACCCTTGTAGGGCTAGTAAGGGTGTGGCTGGCTGTCCCCAGCCCAGGTGGGCTTCCTCAGGACCCCTCTGTGCCACTTCACCTCCAGGCCTCTTCAATGGAGTAAAGCTGGTGGTGGAGACGCCCGAGGAGACACTGTTCACCCACCGTGGTGCCAATGTGACCTTGCCCTGCCGCTACCACTATGAGCCGACCTTGGCGTCCCCAAGGCCTGTGCGAATCAAGTGGTGGAAGCTATCAGAGAATGGAGCCCCGGAGCAGGATGTGCTGGTGGCCATCGGGCAGAGGTGCCGCTCCTTCGGGGACTATGAAGGCCGTGTGCACCTGCAGCGGGACGGGGAGCATGAGGCCTCGCTGGAGCTGCAGAACCTGCGGCCCGAGGATTCTGGGCGCTACCGCTGTGAGGTCATCGATGGGCTGGAGGATGAGAGCGGCGTGGTGGAGCTGGAACTGCGGGGTGAGGCCCTGACTGTGGCTGGGTGCTGTGGGACTCGGGAGGAAGGGGCTCTGGGAAGCATCCAGAACTTTGTGCTTTACATACACGAGCACATCCCATCCTCAGAGCAGCCCAGGAGGAAGCTACTGTTCTTATCACCCCCATTTTACAGATGAGGAAACACAGGGACATCAAGTGACACGGCTGGTAAATGGCAGAGCTGGCAATGGAACCCAGGCAGCAGCCTCCAGAACCCACTGCCTTTCTTTTGTCAAGCTCACACCCCATTCAGAGAGAAAAACAGGAGTGGGTCCCACAGCCCGTTAGAGCCAGGGCTGAGATGCAAGCAGGGCTTGCAGGCAACGCAAACCAACAAGGCAGGCCAGGGAGTGCTGGGGGCCAGGGGACATGCTGAGCTCCGGCCCATCCCAAGGGAGCTGCTATCCTCAGGCCCAGCTGATGGGGGCAGAGTGCAAGCCCAGGGCTGCTAGAGTTTCCAATTTGACAAAAAACCTTATCTTTTTATGGCAAAGAGCTGGGTTTTTATGTGAAAGTCTCTTACTTTTAGAAAAGCCCCATTGCTGAGCAAAGCACCAGACCCTGCCAGCTAGGTCTTCTGTGTGAGCCCTAGGTTGAGATCTAAGTTGCTCTGACTCCTCTGTCTCTGGCACAGGGGCCTGGGTTATTGTCTCTCCTCCCTGCTGGGGAGGCAGCTGTGTGGTGGAAGAACCCCTGACGGCACTCAACCTGTCTCACCAGGGAAAGCCTCCTCCTGGAGCTCTGGTTCTCCCCCGTGTGAACAGGGGAATAGCAGTATCTCCTCCCTTACCTGCCTCAGTGGCCAGGAAGAGAGACACTCTCAGGTTTTGTGGCATCTTCGCCTCTGCAGGCTGAGACAGTGGCTTAGAGGGGCCACACTGCCCCTGCTGAGTTGGGAATGATGGAGCACAGGGAGAAAGCTGCAAGCGTTGTTCATCTGGGGCTGCAGGGGCAGACTGGAGACACGGAGCCCCACCCTGTTCTCGGGGTTAAAAGGGCTGGGAATTTGGGGTGGAACCAGATCCCCCTACAAACGCAGATAGTTTCTGAGCTGATTTTCAGGACCGTGGGCTTCTCTGCCCCTCCACCTGACTTTGCCCATGTGCCTGACTTCCTGCCCCGGTGAGACTGGAGGTCTGGTACTCAGGATATTCTCAGGTCCCCAGCTACAAGAAGGAGCTCCAAGGACTCCCAGCTCTGTTTCTAAACAACACAAGCTAATCAAGGGCCCCCTCTTGAACTCCTAGGGTTATCTCCACTCCTTATAGTTTCATCTGACTTGACAGAGACAGAATCTTAGATGTTTAAAAGTCTTTATTATAATAAAATTTCCAACGTGCATGGTAACTTTTGAGGCGGGGGGCCTGTTGCCCCTGTCTGATCCTGGTAACCAGGAAAGAGGCCCCTGCCCCAGGACCTCCCTGGGGTCCCTTTTATTTAAGGGCTTTCACCATTCCTGTTCCCACAGCTTCTGTGGCCTCTCCTTTCCCTGAACTTGCCTGAGAAATTTTCACCTAATAATGACATATACAGTTGGTCTTCTGTATCTGTGCATTCCACATCTATAAATTCAACCAATTCACAGATCAAAAGTATTCAGAAAAATTACAAAATGTTCCAGAAAGCAAAACTAGAATTTTGTGGTTGCCAAGCACTCTGCTGAATCCTGGAGAATGATGTATAGCCACTGTATTAGTTAATATAAGTAACCTCAGCTTAACACAATGGTCCCCAACCTTTTTGATACCAGGGACTGATTTTGTGTAAGACAGCTTTTTCACAGTTGGGGGAGGGGGTGGCCTTGAGGTGGTTCAAATATATTACATTTATTGTGCACTTTATTTCTATTATTATTACATTGTGATACAGGTGTCTCTGCTAATGTAAATCTATATTTGCAGCTGGTCCCCAGTGCTAGCATCACTGCCTCAGCTCCACTTCAGCTCATCAAGCATTAGGTTCTCATAAGGAGCTGATAACCTGGATCCCTCAAATACACAGTTCCCAGTAGAGTTCTTGCTCTTATGAGGATCTAACTTTGCTGCTGATCTGATGGGGGAGGGAGTAACTCAGTGGTAACTCAAGTGGTAGGAAGCAGCTGTAAGTAAACACAGATGAAGCATCTCTTGCCTGTTGCTACCCTATCTACACTCTAAGTCCTTCTCTTCCTGCCCCAGGCGTGGTCTTCCCCTACCAGCACCCCCGGGGCCGCTATCAGCTTAACTTCCGTGAGGCTCAGCAGGCCTGTGAGGAGCAGGATGCAGTGGTGGCCTCCTTTGAGCAGCTCTTCCGTGCCTGGGAGGAGGGTCTGGACTGGTGCAATGCTGGCTGGCTGCAGGACGGCTCTGTGCAGTACCCGATCACCCTGCCACGGGAGCCCTGCGGGGGCCTGGGTCTGGCACCCGGCGTGCGCAGCTATGGCCCCCGCCACCACCGCCTACACCGATATGATGTGTTCTGCTTCACTGCTGCCCTCAAGGGTGAGTGGGCTGGCCGAGTCCAGGCCTGTGGATGTGGTAGCCATCTGGGACCCATGGGAGGGCAGCACCTGGGGGGCTTCTGGATCTTTCTGCTTGCCCACTGGACCCTCACCTGGAAGTCTGGAGAACCAGCAGTTCTGAAAGCAAGGTGCATGGAGTTTAGAGTTCTTTACAGCTGTTGCTTCCTGTCCGCCTTTGGTTTATTCACTTAGCAAACACTTTCTGAGCGTCTGTTCTATAGTGGGGCCTAGCCTAGGCTCTGGGGTGTTGTAGACAAATGAAACACATCCGTGCCCACACAAAAGCCCAGTTCATTAACAGATAAACACATGGGACCCAAAACTGGCTCTGTGCCGTGTTCCATGACCTTGAAAAAGTGTCTGGCACACAGTGGGGTGCTCAGTAAATGACCGAATGCCTGAGAGACTCTAATAGGCCCCGCCCCGGTTGGGTGCATTCAGGGAAGGGGGGGCAGGGGAGGGACTCCAGGCAGATGGGGTGGTGGGAAAATGGGATGAGGCCTGGGAAGGTGCGCCCGCAAAGTGCCGCTGTAGACACCCACAGCGTGCGGCTGCCTGGACTCAGACAGTTGCTGCAGCCCCTGTCCTCAGTGATTGCCTCCCCCTGGCTGCCCAGCGCTCATGCTCGCTGTCCCCCAGGGCAGGTGTACTACCTGGAGCACCCCGAGAAGCTGACGCTGACAGAGGCCCGAGAGGCCTGCCGGGAAGACGGCGCCCACATCGCCAAGGTGGGCCAGCTGTTTGCTGCTTGGAAGTTCCGTGGCCTGGACCGCTGCAATGCTGGCTGGCTGGCAGATGGCAGTGCCCGCTACCCGGTGGCTCACCCCCGCCCCAACTGTGGGCCCCCGGAGCCCGGGGTGCGGAGTTTTGGCTTCCCAGACCCGCAGAGTCGCTCCTACGGCGTCTACTGCTACCGCCGGAGCTAGGCTCGTGCCAGCTGTGCCGCCACCGTACTGTGTCCCAGCTCTGTATTTATGGACTGGTTCCTTTTCCCTTGTGGCTTGGGGCACTTTTTGTATTTTTTAATACTTCTCCACTTAAATTTTAGAAGTATTTTTTGGTAATAGCAACTCACACCTCCTTGGACTCCCTAGACTCTCCTGCCTGGGGACATTTGGGGTCCGTGGGCTTTCAGAGGGGTCTCTGCCATCAGAGTCCCGGCTGTCTCCGTGCCCTGCAGTGGCTGGGGCCCAGGATGGTTGCAGCTGTCACTCTGCCTCAGCATGGAGAGGCAAAGGGTCTGGGGTGGGGTGAGTGAGTGATCTTTTTCATTTCTGAAGTGGCTCCCTGGGTTTCTGGGTGAAATTCCCTCTCCTCTCCCCTCTTCTGGTCCCCGCATCTCTGTCGTTTTCACGTTTTCCTGTCTGTGGAGAGGCTTTCTGGTGTTGTGTCTTCTTCGGATAATAAATGGTGCTGTGGCCCTTCCTCTATCCTCAGCCTCCCTGTGTCTTGGTCAGTCTCAGGGCTCAGCTCTCTCAGGGCACTGGGTTCAGTTTTGTCCTGGGCTTTAGAGGTGGGTGGGCAGAGAACTCCGTGGCTGTCCCTTTGGGCTGACTTGATGCTTCCAAGGCTGGCCTACCTCCTGGGGCCCTCGCTTGTGTCCCTCTGCCACGTGACTCTGAAGGTCCTGGCAGAAGAGTGGGAGGTGTCTCTCAGGAGATAGTAGGCCAGGGGCCTCGGGGATGACCCTCTCTGCACCTTACGCCACCTCTGCCTAGGAAAGCAGACCCCTGCCTGCTTACTGTCAGTTATTCAGTCTATTTTTCCCCTGTCCTGGTGCTTCTCACAGTGTGGCCAGCTGCGGCACTAGAATTTGTTACAAATGCAAATTCCTGGGCCTCACCCAAGACCTGCAGTCAGAAACTTGGGCCCTAAACTCTGTGTTACCATAAACTGTCCAGGGAATTCTGATGCACGTTCAAATTTAAAAGCCACAGAATAGACAGTTGTCTCCCTAGCTGCAGACAATCCCTGCCTTATGATGGTGTGATTTATGTTTTTTTTTTTTCTTTTTTCTAGTCAGCTTCCTGTTGCTATAACAAAATACCTAAAATAACTAACTTGTTTTTTCAAGGGGGATTGAACTCAGTGGGTGTTGAGCTACACCCCAGCATCCCCTGTTTAAGTTTTTCTTTTGAGACAGGATCTTGCTAAATTGCCCAGGCTGGTCTTAAATTTGTGATTCTCCTACCTCAGCCTCCCTAGTAGCTGGGTTGCAGGTGTGCCTCACCACACCTGGCTGAGATAATTAAGCTGTAAAAAGAAATGGCTTGTTTGCCTTTGTGGTTTGGGCAGCTCCAGTCCAAGATCGAGTGGCCCTGTTGCTTTGAACCTAGTGTGTTTGGACTGGCAGATGTAGCAAAGCAGAAAAGAAGCTGGGGTCCTGCTGTTCCTGAAAAGCCACCCTCCTTTGACCTGAGGACCTCCCTGAAGGCCCTACTTCCTCTGCTACAGGTTCACAACACCTTCGAATAGCGCTACAGGGTGGCCAAGCTTTTAACACAGGAGCTTTCCGGCGATATTCAAGATCCAAGCTGTAGCAGACAGCATGAGTGTGAGGAGCATTCAGCAGAAATCCTACTTTGACTCTTTAGTTTTGATCCTTTCTCTGGGCAAATCCAGTCCTCTCGAAGTGCTGGACTTGGTAACCAGCCACAGCTCCCACTCACCCACCAGATCCCAGGAGAAACAGTGGGTGTTCTCCAGTGTGCTGGGTTGTAAGTTCTGGTGCTTGGTGGGGTAGGCGTATGAAACGCATTTTGCTCCCAGGATGTGATGCACACACCCTGTAATCCCAGCGCTCAGGAGACTGAGGCAGGAGGATAGTGAATTTGAGGCCCGCCTGTACAATTTAGGGAGACTCTGTCTTAAAAAAAAATTGAGAGTTTGGAATATATCTCAGTGTAGAGCATCTCTAGGCTCAATCCCCAGTACTGCAAAATACCCAAAACCAAAAATGCATTTTCTTTTTGTTTCTTATTTCTCCTTCCCTCCCTCCATAGTGCTAGAGATCAAACCTAGGGAATCATTCTAACACCCAGCTATACTCTAAACCTTAAGAGTGTGTGTGTGTGTGTGTGTGTGTGTGTGTGTGTGATACTAGGGCTTGAACCCAGGGTTTTGCACAGAGCTACATCCCCGGCCTTCTTTTTAATCTTAAATTTTAAAACAATTTTGAGACAGGGTGCCATTAAGTTTCTAAGTTACTCAGGCTGGGCTTGAATTTGCAATACTCCTGCCTTAGCCACCCAGAGTGCTGGGATTACAGGCACGAAACACTATGATTGACTCCAAATGTGTTTTTGATTTGCGATATTTTAAAGAAACACTTTTAAGTCAGTTTAATGTATCCATGAATCACGTAATTACTGAGCCCCTTCTCTTTGGCTGGGGGTCTACCTTCTTTTGCCCACTCTATCCCTTCCAGAGCTGTAAGTAACTGGTCACACAGGCCAACATGCAATCATACACACAGCCACACCTGAAAAGATGAGGGCTCGCACAAACGCACACCAGCGGGCTCTGGCAACACCTTGTGGGCACACGGAGCGACCATGATGAGGGAAGCGACCTGAAGAGGTGATGGCACTGGGGAAGCCACTACCTGGTCCTCATGCACCTGCTGAGCTCTCAGTTTGGGGGAGAGCCACAAACACTTAAGCCTGGTTTCACGGATACACTACAGCTTGCGCAGAGCAGAATGCTGCACCCGTCCGCTAGCAGCCAACAGCCGGTGTGCCTTAAAAATTGGAAAGCTGGGGCTGGGGATTTAGCTCAGCGGCAAAAGCGCCTGCCTGGCAAGCACAAGGTCGTGAGTTCGGTTCCCGGTACCGGAGAAAAACCAAAAAAAAAAAAAAAAAAAAAAATTGGAAAGCAAGACCCACTGTTCCCGCACTGTCTGTGGTTTGTTTTTGCAGTTCCCTCTTTCGAATCTTGATGTTCTGCTCTGGTTTGGGGTTCAGGCTACCAAGCTACTCTTCTCCTGGCTGCGAACAGTGTGACATCAAAGAACCAAAGGAGGCACCTCGTGGCCACCAAGGTTGCACTGGAGTTACTCTTTTGCAAATCCACACAGCACCAAGGACTGATCTGTGTCATGCTGTGACAGTCACACCTGGCACACTCACATACAAACACATCATGCATGTCCACACACACATACACACCTCATTCTTCTGCACACAGAGAATCCATCCAACACACTGTCACTCTAATAAAAACAAACGAAGCTGTCCTGGGCTCTCAACAGGCAGGAGTCACACCCATGTGGGGTCATTTGATCAAAATGTGACCCCGTGGCCACCTTTCCTCAGAGTCTCTTTTGTAAGCCCCAGACTGTGGTCTGCCTGTTCCTTAAATTGAAAGAAGGGAAAAGAAAAGAAGTAGATCTCTTCCAATGTCTTTATTATTATAATTATCATAATCTTTAGTTTTCAAAAATATAAATAGGTGCACGGAACCCTGGTGCCTGCACCGTCCCGAGGGTGGGGGAGGAGAGGGGGCGGGGCAGCCCCCCTGAGAAGGACGTGCCCCCACCCAGCCCTGCTGAGAGATGACACCTGCTAGGGTGGCTGACCGGGTGCGAGGACACTGGAAGGGGACCCTTGGGGGGAAGGTGACCCCAGCGTTGCAGAAGATCCTTCCGAGATGGCTCTCCTGTTGCTGGCTCCCCAGGCTTCTTTTGTCACAGATAGCCAGCCTCCTGGCTCCTTGTGTCCTCTACATTCAGCTGCGGTCGGAGGATCTGAGCCCTGGCCTCAGGCCTCTGCCCCTTCCAGGTCCTTGCCTCCCCCTCCCTCTGCCTTAGCTCTCCCTGGAGGTGAAATAAGCAACCATTGCACTGCTCCTGGATAAAGTCAGGACACAAAAAATAATCTTCTTTATTTAACTTAACCCCTTCCCTTTTCCCCCTGTCCCTGCGCTGGTCCCTGGAAAGGCACGATGGGAGATTGAAGAAACGTCTCTAAACTCAGTCCACGGGTTGTGATGAGCTCGCTTTGCTTTGGCATTCGGGGGACAAATTAGACGAGGTTTTGGAGATTTGGGGGCGGGTGGGTGCACACACACTGTGGGGTTTATGTTTTCCTTCTTTAATGGGATTCCTTATATGACAAAAAGCAACAAGAAGAGGACACCGTCGGGTGGGGGATGTGTGGTCTAGTCAGCCCGGTGGGCTCCTGGGCTCAGCGTCCTAGGTGGTCCCCAAAGCTCCTCTCAGTGGCCCGAGCTCGGGCGGCTCTGCCAGGAGCTCCGCTTCTGTAGTCGGCGCTTGTAGGTGGTGGCTGGAGACAGGGACACGGGAAAGCACGGTGAGCTGGGAAAGTGGGGCTGAGCCCTGGCTCCCCGTCTGTCCCCCTCCACTGGCGCCCCTCCCTGTGGATGCCTGGGGCCAGGAAGGCGGCCTGGTGCTTTACCTGAGCCTGGGTTTGATTTTTCCCTGAACCTCCTTGGGCTTGGGGTGCAGGCTGGGGTTGGAAAGGGAAGCAGGCCACCATGTGCCCCTTCATCCTCCCTCCTGGGTCAGGGACCAGGGATCTGTGACCTTGCCGCCCTGGCTCGATCCTGGGGACAGCACGGGACTCCCGGGGGTAGCAGCTAGGGCTGTGCTGTGGGGACAGGGAAGGGCTGTGCCCGGCCAGGAGAGAGGCCACGCTCACGGTCTGTGCAGGTGATCCGAGGCTCCTCCCAGTGCCCGCTGGGCTGGCACCGGATGGTGGGGACGTGACGCTGGACAAAGCCCTCCGTGCACTGGTACCGCACTAGGGAGTTGATCTCATACCGGTCCTTCTTCTGCCCCAGGGTCCTGGCGTGCTCCACCCTGGGGGGGTCTTCGCAGGCCACTGAAGAGCAAACCCCCTTTTAAAAGGGGCCTCCTGGGGCTTCTGCAAGGACTCTGTGTCCTTTGCTTCAGGCCCCAAGGAAGGGCACTGAGCGCCCCCCAGCGGCAAGCCCTGATTCACTGCAAGATGCCGGGGTCCCTGGGCTCTAAAGTCTGGGTTCCTCTCTAATGTGCCCTGGCAGGTAGGGGATAGCAGATAAAAGGAAGGGACAACGGTGGGGAGGGAGGGGAGAGCCAGGCAGACCATCTGCGGCTTCCTTATGAAAACACCCAGGGCCAGGGACAGGTGGACCTGAAGGAGGTCGGGGGACTGCATGAGTAGGAGGAGGTAGGTGTGTCCAATCAGTTATCTCTGTCTGCAGACCTGAAATCTGACAATTCTGATTCTGTGACCAATGGGCTTGGGAACCTCAAGGGAGAGGTGGCTGCTAACCCAGCTGCCCTCAAGGGTGGGTTTCTGCTGCTGATCTCCAAGGGTGTGTGTGTGTGTATGTGTCCTGCCCTCTAGTCTGGGATCTTCACTGCTTGCTGTCCCTGTGAATGCTCCCTAGGACTGAGCTGGCCCATGCCATTGGCCATGGGTTGCTTGTTCTGGGAAAGGCCACCAGGTCACTTCCCATCCCATCTACTTTGTAAGGGTGGGCCCGTAAGGCGGGCATGCCTGTAATCCCAGCCCTCTGGAAGGCTGAGGCAGGAAGAGTGTAAATTTGAGTCCAGCCTGAGCAACTTAGCGACTGAGGCAGACCTTGTCTCAAAATAAAAAATAAAACAAGGTTTGGGGGATATAGCTCAGTGCCTCAAGCCCTGTGTTCAATTCCCAGTACTAGGGGAGGGGATGTCCCCACAGACCCCAGCAGTTGGAAGGCAAGTAAGACCCCTGGTCACATAGTAAGAGGCTCCCTTGAAGCAGAAGTCTTGGTTCCGCCCTCAGACCTCCGCCCTCCTTACCTGTGCCCTTTTTACACGTGAAAGGCAGGTGGTAATTGCAGGGGACATCGTTCCACTCGCCCTTCTCGTGCCAGATCATCACCACACAGTCCTCTCCCGTGGCAAAGAAGTTGTCGGGCTGGTTGGGACGCCACTTCTCAAATTGCTGTGGGCAGTAGTGAAAAGGGTGAGGGGTGGGCAGGAGAAACGGGGCTGGCCTGTCCCCCGTGCTCTGCCCCGCCAGCCTCTCCTGTCTTCTTTCTCTTTCAGCCCAGTTGCTGGCTCATCTGGCAGTGGTCAAGGCTGTTAGGAGGTCTGTGGCCAGGGCTGTGCTCGTGCACGGAAGCCATGGCCCTCTAGGGACCGCTTACACGGCTGGCTCTGGCCCTTTGTAGAAGCCCGGACTCCCAAGGGTTTGGTGCCTGACAGGATTCGGCCCTTCACCGCAGTGTTGCCGCCTGGCATCTGTGCTGCCTGCCTGCCTGTCTCCTCATGTAGACATGAGTCCTTCGTGGGCGAGCAATCTCTCATGTGTCTGCGGACCCCTCATGATGGCCTGCTGTCAGTCATTCATCTCCCTCCTGGCTCTCTCCCTGGCCTCACGCCTCTGCTCGGCCTGGCCAGCCCAGTGCTGGTCCCCAGGGGTAGAGTAGCAGACACAGCCTGGCCCTCGGGGCTCTGCTCCAGTGGCTGCTGAGGATGCTCAGGGTGTACATGGCATCTGGAGGCATCTCTCTCTCTCTCTCTCTCTCTCTCTAGGGTCTTTATCCCACCTTCTTCTGCTCTTCGGCCGGTGTATCTGGTAGAACTCACCAAAGGGTGTCCATCTGACCAGCGGAAGTCCCCTTCGATGGTCCTGTCATTCAGGCCCACCCACTGGTAATCCTGAGCATTTCCTGGAGAGGAAAATTGGGTTGTGACCTGGAGTCAGACACCTGGGGATGTCTGAGGATTGTAGCTCACGGAAAAGGAGAAAATGGAGGAGGATGAGGACCTTCCAACAGCACATGTGTGTTGGTGTGCACTTTGGACCCCCTTGCCCCAGGCTGGCATGGACTGGTGACAACCACAGGGTTTTTCCTGGGACTGCCCTTAACTGCCAGAGGGCTGTTCTCTGTGTGGCCAGAGCCAATGGCCCCAAAGACTTCTGTGTTCTTTCAGGGAACTCAGGTTGTGGGAGGGCCCCTTGCTCCCAGCCTCCACCCCTGCAGCCTCCCTGGACCCGGTCTGCCAAGTGCCTTCTTTTATTGGTTTAGCACTACTGGGGAGGAGCCCAGGGCCTCGTGTATGCTGGGCAAGTGCTCTACCACTGAGCTACATTGCCAGTCCCCAGTCTGCTAACAACTGACAATCAAGGCCCTCAGTCCCTGGAGGGCCCCCCACACTCACTGTTGACAAACTCCTGCTCCTCGGGAGTGATGATGCTGCTGAGGTGTGACTGGTGCTCCCGACACCGCCTCTCGGCATCCACCCAGGTCTCGCGGTCAGGGAAGTGGCGGTAGCAGTGGCCCTGGAATTTGGTCCAGCCCTCCTCGCACACCTCCTGGTCTGCAACACAGGTGAGGGCCTTGAAGGGGGCTCCGAGGCCAGCTGGGTCTCTGGTTGCTGCCAGTCTTGTGGCCTGGATTCCTATATTCACCCCACCTTAAATGCTGTCCCCTCAGAGAAGGATCAGGCCTCACTGGAGCCAGGTTCATGTTGGCACCTGAGGCCTGGCCCCTAGGGCCTGCTGAGCATGCCTCACCTCTGAGAAGTGCTGGGGACCATTTCTCTCCCTGATGTGGTGCCACCCCTTTCCCCCCCCCCCCCCGGTTGCCCCACATGTCTCAAACTCTCCTCCTGCAGATGTCCATTCTGGAGGGCGGCAGAATCAGCAGGCCAGCTCAGGAGCGGTGGGAAGGTAGAGGCTATGACTTTTAAGGCACATACGGTGCACAGGCTCTGAGGGGCTCCAGAGACAGGAGCTGGGGATGGGGAGGCAGCAGGGGGCAGGGCTGGCATGAGCTAGAGCCAGCAGCCTCCTTCCTGCAGAACCTTGGGTGAAGACAGAGGGTTCAAAGAAAACTCAGAGCTCTAAGGCCACCGATCAGAACTGGCTCTGGCTGGGCCTGCTTCTCAGAGGGTGACAGAGCTGACTAGGAGAACTTCTGGATCCAGGGACCTTGGCTCTTTATATTTTGGTGGCAGATGGGGAGAAGGGAGGAGCTTCTAACTTTGTAATGGGCTCTCCTTTCTGGAAAAGGGGATGATTTGGAGAGCTCAGAGCAGCCGAGGATCTGGTGACATCACATTGGTAGTTTTAAATTGGCCCTGATGGGAGTATTTAATTTGCCCCCAGGATTGGCAGATGCTACCAATCAAGGGCCCCTTTTCTTCTGTGAGAGGCAAGTGTTAAACATCTGCCAGGGCAGCACAGAACAGAGAGAACACCAAGTCCCTCTCTCCCTTCTTCTCCTGGCACCTTGATGTGTAGGGCCCTGGGCTCAGTGAAGAGCCATGGACGTCTTAGGATGTGTGGTCTCCTCCCACTGGGGACCACCAGTATTTGGGTGTCTCAGTGGGGAAGGCCCAGTGCCTGAGAGACAGGAGCCTTAGGCCACGCAGTGGATGTTCGGCCAGCTTGGCAGAGACAGCTGGGATGAGACAAAAGAGGACAGCAGAGCCCAGGAGCCTGAGCAGAAAGCTGTAGAATGGCAGGAGGGCCTGGGAAAGCCCTGGTGTCCTCTTACTACCAGTGCCCTCTCTCAGGGGGTTGCAAAGGCTAGAAGAGGCAGGGAGGCTTCTGAGGTAGCTTAGCACGGTGATGAGGACAGAGACACACCGTCATATTAAGGGTATCCTCTTGGGGGCTGGTCCTGGGCCACCTCAGTGGTGAAGGGGTGAGCTGGGCAGGCAGAGCCAGTGGGTGACTGGACAGGGCCATGCAGGAGGGGGCTCTGGCAACAAAGGTAGAATCCCCGGGGGGCTGGAAGGATGATAGAGGCTGGGGCCAAGGCACAGGCACTGTGGGGTAGGAGAAGGGATGCGGCCTTGCTTCACGGGACACCCAGGCCAGGGCCAGCTTGAGGCTCCAGTGCTGTCTCTCTGCTCCATCAGGTTGCAGATCCCCCCTCTCCCAGGCAGGAGCCCCGGAACTGTTATCTGTGTGGACGTTGTGGACTCTATGCCCATTTGGCAGATGTTTTGGCATCCTGGGGAGAAAACCTATGTAGCTCTCTTCTCCCAGCCCAGCCGAGATCCCATGCACTAATTTCTTAGGGGCTTGGGGTAAAGGTGAAAGGTAGAAGGCTGCAGGGCCAAAGGGGTGCCGAGGCCTTCTCCTCCAGAAACCTTAAACTCCTCTACCAGCCTTCACCTTGGCAGTGCCTCTGGGGATGGGCCATTTGCACTATCTTCTCACACTGCTTGACCCCAGAGGGAGACTTCCTATTAGTCTCAGATGCTTTCTGGAAGTTTTTGGGGTTCCAACTTGAGAGTTCACAGAAAAAGGCTTTGAGCCTCTCCACACTTCCTGTTCCGTGTGGGCCATGGCTCCCAGCACCCCAGAGTACCATCTCCCCTTTCCTGAGTTGGGAAGTCCCTAGAATCTAGAAGGCTGAGGGGACACTAGGGTGACCCAGAGGGCTATGTCTGGTGCTGAGAGATTCCTCGCACACAAGTGCAGAGCAGAGGGGCTGAGTAGGCCCAAGATGGACAACTGAGCCCCTGCCCCTTTCAGTGACACTCTGTTCTCTCTCACCAGACCTTTGCCCTGCACAAGGAAGGAAGATAGGAGGAAGGGCAGGCATGGCATTGACATGGCAGCTGTCGTGATGTGAAGAGAAGGTGACATGCAATAGTCCCTGTTCATGCGTGACTTGAGCATGCTGGTGACTCGAGTGCTCTCAGCAGACCAACCAGGAAGGCAGCTTGGCTGGTGTGGCATGATGGCGCCCAGGGGCATCCGTGGCCACACAAGTCCCTTAAGCAATACAGCAGGCAGACAGTGCCTGTGACCATCCCGGGAAGATCCGTGGCTGTCACTGGAATGAGAACCGATTGCTCCCACCCATAGCTCTATCCAGATAAAAGCAGGGAATCAGCTGAATCCTCTTAGTCTGACACATGCACCAGGCTTGGTGGCGGCCTCAGAAAGTCTGAAAGCCCTGGAGAAGGTTAGTGTTTTAAAGGTTCCCAAAGCCCAGCCTGGGCATCTCCTGTGGTCAGATCAGCCAATGCCTGGAGGAGGGTTTTCAAGGGGCAGAGTAGGAGAAAGAGAGAGAATCAGTCGGGTAGACATATGTCTCAGCTGCGGCCCCAGAATGTCTATCCAGATAGACCTGGGTGCCCAGCTGGGGCCTAGATCCTGCTGTTAAGAAAAAAAAAAAGGGTAAGGGAGGAGGAAGGTACAGCAGTTAGTAACATTAGCTGAAGCCGAGACGGCCGTACCGATCTCACACAGGTCCCCTCCGTAGCTGGGAAGGCATAAGCATGTGAAAGAGTCGATGGTGTCCACGCAGGTGGCTCCATTCAGACAAGGGCTTGAGAGGCACTCATCAATGTCTGCAAGAAACCAAGGGCCACCATTAGGACTCCTGCCGGCAATTCCAGCCTCACAGCACTGTAGCTTCCTTAGGAGTGGCCAGCCCTGCTGCGCTCCAGAGCCCCAGAAGGGGACAGGCTGGTGTTCCTGAGAACTGTTGCTACTGCTGCTGCTGCCATCTTGGAATATGCTGAACCAAGGATCCAGAGAGAGGCTGTCTTGGATGTGTGTGAATCCTGCTTGGCAAGCTTAGAGTCCCGGAGCTAGGCTTCCCAGTGGGAAGAGTGTGGCACTCCTTCCAGATACTTTCTCTTATAAGTATTTTAAGAAGCCTGAGTGTAAACTGGCTGTGACCAGGTGGTAGGCAAGGACATTGGAAGGTAAATTCTTGAGGCTTGACTGAAGGCCTTCCTTCCCCTCATTTCCTCCATACACATGAACCAGGGAAACTATAAGCAACCTGGAAGGGATGGGCAGAGTACAGATCCATGAGATGATGGCCGTGTGGGATATTTGCATGAGACCCATTAGACTTCTAAATTACAATGTCCAGACGAGTCCTGGCCAATGGGTGGCAAGCATTTGAAGTTGGCTAGGTGCTTAGTAGGTGGCTGCCTACCAGCAGTGAGCTGGGATATAGGCTTCCTACCAGCCTCTTCTTCTGGCTCTTTGTTTCTTCTCTTCTTCTGGACCCAAGATGTTCTTTCTAGTCAAATTTCTCTGCAGGAATTTAACTGGTAAGTCATTGGTTTGGTTCAAGTAGCCAAGAACTCTATCTCCATCTTTCTGCATCTTTTTGAGAATTCAGAGTGCCTCAGGATGTATTCTGCTTTCTTTGTATTTGTGGTCTAAAGCTCTTGCTGCTTTTTCCAGCGTTCCCTCCCCTGGAAACATGATAAAGGGTATTATGCAGCTCCTTTTGCTAGGAGATCAATAAAATTCAGCAAAAAGCTGGCTCCACAAGTTTATGAGGCATCAAGATATGTAGCTGGAGGATGCTAAGCCTTGGTGCATGCTGCTGAGCTCATGAAACCTTCAGGATCCGAGAGGATGTCCAAAGGGATGTCCAAGAGGGTGGACTCCACTGAGTGTTTTGGGAATAGAGCCTCTGAGTCCTAAATATGTTCCAGAATTCATTCTTGCCTCCCGTAGAGCAAACCAAACCTTAAAGTCAAGCTTCTGGTAGGATGGCAAACACCTTTTCCTCTGGATCTTCACACTTGTGTGTAGCAGACATCTTGGGCTTATGCAGTAGGTGACTCTCCAAATCCCTGCTTGTCAGGCATCTTGTCCTATGAAGCTCCTGATCTCCCAGTTCTCTCTCTTTCCTTTAAGTCCTTAGCTTCATTTCATGGAGTGCACTCCATGGATTAGAAACCAACAGTTCCAAGTTTGGAACTGTTCCAAGCAAACCCAAAATGCATGGAGGAACTGGCTGAAATCCCAGCATGCACTTGGAGTCCCAGCATGCACCAGGATTCCCAGCAGCAGCAGTAGCAGCAATAGGTCAGGTCAGTTGGCAAGCTGGGGCAGCTCTCCTGCTTCAGGAAAGCTATGTCCTCTTTTGTCTATTAGTGTCATTACAGGAGATGGGAAGCACTGGGTGAGGGGAATTAAGCAAATGTAGGCGCTCAAGCAGTTGTACAGAGCAGGGGACAGGGGTGGCCTCTGGGGAGAAGAGTCAGACATAACCCTAGGGGTCCTGGCTGACCCATGGGAGAAAGGGTAGAAGGTCTGAGGCCAACAGGAGGTCCAGCCAGGTGGCTTCCAGGTGTCCCACAGGCTTGGAGTTTATGCTTCACCCGACCCCAGGTGGCACAAGGTCCTGGGGTTGGGGGAGGATGGCAGTGTTGTGTCCTTCTGTGTTTGGCCAGGGCACAAATCTGAGAAGGCTGAGAGGTCTGAAGGAACCAACTCCTGGCCTCAGACGCTGTTTTTTCATAAGGCCCTGGATTCATAGGTGAGGAGGGAAGGAAGGGCCAGCATCCTGAAGACCAGAGCGCCTGTGGGTACCACTGGGGCACTTTAGAGTGGCTAAGTCCGAGTCTTCAGCAGTGCAGAGGGGGTCAGTATCCTGGGGTCTTTCTTGTTAGCTGCTCAGGCCAGGGACACCTCATCTCTTTTCCCTCTGACTGCAAGAGCCACTCTGGGCCTGGCTGCCCACCTCTTTGTGTCAAAAGCAGTGGGAACATCCCACTGCTTCTGGACCAAGAGAGGAATTCAGCTAGGTCCAGCAATGAGCTCAGACTGGGGGGTTTCAGACAAGAGGACAGTAGGTGAAGGAGGGAAGGGCTTTGGGCATGGGCAGGCTTTGTTGTGGAGAGGAGGAAAGGACAGGGGCCAGGAGCTGAGCAGATGCTGCTGACTCTCAAGGGCTTAGGGGTACAGATGACATGACACTAACTAAAGGTCAGAAGAGATGGAGGAGTCAGGAAATGATACAGAACATCTGGGATTTGTCCCACATGGGGGGAGAGAGATCCAGGCGCTATAGATGCTCAGTATCTCATTACTATTTCTGCTGCAGCCACCAAGGGCTCACCCGTCATCACTGAGCAGGGACTCAGGGGAGGTCAGAGCGCTTGGAGTCCTCTTCCCACTAGATTACTGAAAGGGATGATTTGTTCCTGAACAAGGCCTTCCAGCCATATCTCTAATGTAGGAGAGAAAATAACTGAGAGTGCCCCCTGGTAAAGGCTAGAGGAGGAGAGACACTTGCACATAATCACTTTGGCGTCTGATTTAGAGACCTCAGACTTTGAACAGTCATGTCCAGTTTTTGCCTGGATCAGAGCCTAGGACCTTCAAGTGAGGACTAGTTTATTCTACTCCTAGGAAATGTGAATGGAGGGTGACAGCACATGGTGTCACTCAAGTGATTCAAAACAGAATGGTTTGCCACCCACAAAGAATATAGTATGAATGTATTATTCAAGTTATTTGGTACACAACCTGTACAGCTGTTTATGATGACCTAGGACTTAACTTTCTAGGACAAGAATGGGGTAAATCTCCTCAAGAAGCATAAATAAAATGTTTTAATTCAATGGATATTCTGCACCCTGCAAAAACCTAGGATCAGTCATGATGGACAGACTGGAGTAGATATACTGACTTCCTGGTTCAGCCTCTTACATAATTGAGAGAAATGTACATTTATGCTAAGGGTATATCTGTCTGTCCCAATTTGCTTTTAAAATAAATGTTATTAAATTAGAGAGTACATTATTGTCCATACTATTTCAATTCTTCTGCATTTCAGAGATTGATCTTACTTTAATGTATTGGATCTTAAATTCAATTAGGTGTCCATTAAAATATGCTGATAGATTTTTTTGGTTAAGTCAAGAGTCTATAAACTGAGTGTGGCGATGCATGCCTGTAATCTCAACACCCTGGGATGCTGAGGCAGGAGGATCACAAGTTTGAACCTCGGGCAACTTAGTGACTTAGGGAGATCTTGTCTCAAAATAAAATATATTTGAGAGAGAAAGAGAGAAACCACCAAAAAATGTATAGATCAGGGAAAGAAAAACTTGCATAAATATTTTCATACTAAATTTGCTGAGTTATGATGAGATTAATATACGTTCCCTTTGGTCTCTGCAACCTCTGGTCTCTACAATTACAAGAGGTGCTCAAAGTGGTGGCCATTGGCTTCCAGACATTTATTAGTATCGTGAACTACTGAAGTGTGTATACATGTTTTTGGTGGTCTCTCTCCCTCCCTTTCTCTCTCTCTCTCTCTCTCTCTCTCTCTTTTTCTTCTCTCTCTCTCTTTTTTTCTAAAAGTTGCTTTAAAGGAATAAAGATTTCACTGAAATTCAAAATCTCCCCTGGGGGAAGAGACAGTGTCAGATCATAAATCAGATCTCTAAACCTAGAAAGGAAAAGTAGCAGTGAAATAGAATGGGGCTGACTAAGTTTTAAAAGTTTATTTCCCATAACCCAGGAGTTAAGGGAAACCCACACAACAGAATCAGTGACTCAAAGTTGCATATAAGGTGTGGTTACAACAGTATTTTTTAACTACATTGACTGCACATTAATTGAAATAGTTAAAAAAAATTTTTTTTTAATTTAAAGATTTTATTTAAAAAAAAAATCAACACTAGGGTCCCTAACCAGACCAACTGACTCAGAATAGCTCAGGGTGAGAGCTAACCATGATGATTTTGCTGTTGTTGTTATTGTCAGACAGGGTCTCACTACGTAGTTCAGGCTGGCCTTGAACTCACTTTTGTAGCCCAGGCTAGCCTCGTACTTATGGCGATCCCACTGCCTCAGCCTCCTGTGCTGGGATTACAGATGTGCACCCACCATGCCCAGTACATGATGATTTTAAAAGCACCCCAGCCCCCAGACGATTTTCAGCACCGGCTAGGATTGAATCCCGAGTCTAAGCCCCCTGGGGACGCCAGCAGAGGATGTAGGGAGGTGGCTGCTGTTTTTTAAGTGGGTCAGAAAAGAACAGTCCTGCTTCTCATTACTAAGGAATCTCACTATTCATTAAGCAGATGTTTATTTTGAAGTCAAAAGTACTGATTAATAATTTACCAAGAACTAGTTTATGGAATACTGGTGGAACAAGATGGCAGTAATTGTCAAATGGTTTCTTCTAGGATTAAATACAGCTTTAACTCCTTTATGGGGTGAGGTTTTCCCTGAGCATTCAAATAATAATAATAATAATAATAATAATAATAATAATAACACTTTTTGCTATCTGTGGCCCTTGAAGGGTAATGGTCCAGGGTCTTTTTCTTTTTGTTCTTCTGTGATTGAGTCCATGGCCTTCACACTGAGCTACATCCCCAACTCTTCTTATATTTTATTTTAAGACAGAGTCTCACTAGGTTGCCCAGGCTAGACTTGAACTTGTGATCATCCTGCCTCAGCTCCCAGAGTGCTGGAATTACAGGCATGCACCACCATGCCTAACTTCACCTGGGATTTAAAAATTCCCCAATGCCAAAGCCCACAGAACCGTTTCAGTAATACTCCATGGCTTTACAATGCGTCCTAGGCGTTGCAATGTTTTCAAAGCTGAGAACCACTACCAGAGGTGTCTACTGATAAATAACTAGAGCAAGGGCTTGCCTGAGCGTTTGAATCAGACTGATTCTATAGCCCTGGAAATCTGGTGTCAGCTTTTTGAGACCAGCAACTTGTTATTATGTTCAAGAGAGTGTTTCTTATTTAGCCAAGTGTGTTAAATGAGTGTACTGAGATTCTGACTCGTGATTTGCCTCATTTAGTGGAGGTAGGAGAATGAATTAACCTCTATGTGTTCCAGTTTTGAATGGGGGTGATTATCAGTTAGCCTCCCAAGCTGTTGGGGACAAACCCTGCGAAGAAAAGCCCTGGGGAAATACACATGATCAGAGAAAGGCTGTTCTTACAATAGAAGAGATAAGTTTTAGGTCATCGGCTTTTACTAACTTTGGGCTGCAGGAGATCTGAGCCTTGTTGGGATTTCTGATGCCAGTATCATATTTTTGCCTCAGTTATCAGGTTGGGAAGGAGTTGCTCAGAATGGAGTTGCTGATTGGCATGGAGAAGTCCAGGCCATGGTCTTCAGGGCCACTATAGCCCAGTGGAAATACAAAGTGTGATTAAAAAATATGGTGACTATTCAAATAAAAATAAAAAAGTATTACAGTAAAAGACGCATTGCCATTCACCCCCCTCAAAACACCCCACTACCTTGGAACACACTTATTCCATCATTTTTGCCACTTTCTGAAGCACTTCTGGGCATCCTCTTTTCTAAGTGTCTTTTTGTGGCTGCCTTGATGTCCTGAATCGGTTCAAAATATTTACAGCAATTTCTGTCAGATAAAAACGTTGAGGTGTGTCCTTATCTGCCTTGTTCACAGGATCTGGTACCATGCAACTTCTGGCTCTTTCCCAAAGTCAAAATGACCATGAAAGGTAAATGGTTTGAATCAATTCTAGACATTAAGGCAGCCATCACAGCGCAACTAAAGACACTCACAAAAGAGGTCTTCCAGAACTGCTTCAGAAAGTGGTAAGAATGGTGGGATAAGTGTACTGGAAGTGAGGGGAAGTATTTTGAAAGAGATAGTTTGTGTCTTTTATTGTAATAATTTTAAAAATTTACTATATTTAAAAATTTTAAAAATTCACTGTATTTTGTGATTGGACCTCATATTGTCCCCTGGCTGTAAAGACTGTTGGAGACCCCTAGTGTCCTCAGGTTTTGGCCCCAGGTGTGAGCAGAGTCTGACCCTGGTGAGGGGAAGGGTGGATGACTACCCAGCCTAGTGCCTATTTATGTATACATACTATATATGTGTGATACATACAGTGTATTTACATCATGGGAGCGTATGTGCTGATCTGTTAATCTGCATTATACTGAGTAATTTATGTAAACCTCAAACCCTCCCTTGTGTGCCATGTAAGGGCTATTGGAGGCGCTTTGCCAGGCAGGGTTTACCTGGGAAGTTGGGCAATGGCCCTCTTTCCCCTAGAACTTATTTCTTCATTTTTGCATGTGTCCCAGGAAGGAAGCCTTCTTATGAAAGGCTTCAGAGAGAAGCTGGGGATCAGGGTGTTGGGCCAGTGGAGACAGCGAACCAGAGAACATGGGTAACATCTGATGTTGAAGAGAAAAGATGTCACTGTGGCCACAAGCCTTGGACGGTCTGCAGAGTGACAGGTAGATGCTAATCACCTTATTTTTGGAGTGGTTCCAGGCAGAGGATCCCCAGGTTCCTCACCCATCTCACAAGCTGCCTGACCCACGGCAAAGACCCAGCAGCCTCGAGTGGTGGATGCCCTGGGAAACCTGCCCTGGTCCTGCCGCCCCACAGCCATAGATGCCAGTGCAGGGTGACATGTTCTCTGGGGTTTTCTGGAGGGCAAAAGGAGACCCACACCCCACTTAGACGGAGAGGCCCCATGGGATTTTCTGGTGGGGTTCCTTCTGCATAGTGCAGAACAGGGGACTTGTGCCCCTCAGAGAGTCCCTTGCAGGGACAGAGGAGTGTGTCCACCATACCCATACTCACCCCGAGCTCAAACTTTCTTTGAAGTCTCAAGTTTTAGCTTAAGAATTCAAGTGCACTTTGCAATCCATTCATTCAATAGTCATTGGCTTGCTAGAAAACTGCTCATCAGCCTACATATTGAACAACTTTTTTTCTCCTAAACCCCTCATTAACTAGGTGCTCTGGAGAGATGTGCTTTTGGGCTGTGACTTCTGTCCCTGATGTCTCTGTCTCTGTGCACTTCTCCTTCCCGGTCTGAGAAGCGTGAAGCTTGAGCCTCAGCTGGTCTCGCTCACCTCCTACTCCTGCGGCCCCTTCTGGGGAGGAAGTGGTCCAATGGCTGATATGGGTCTTACCTGTGTCACAGTGCTGGCCAGTGTTGAGGGGCAGAGACATATGATGCATCCCTGTCTCCTGGCAGGTCCCAGGGCCACAGGGCCTCTCAGGCTGCAGTCCCCAGGGGAGTGGTTGAGGCTCAAGAATCTAGCTGCCCAGGGACTACGAAGCTCTCAGCATAGTGGGAGGCATGAAGTATCCCCACACATAAAGCTAAGGAAGAGTAGCTCTGGGGGCCAGATTCCTGGTGCCTGGGATCACAGGCATCGAGACAGTCCCAATAGTCGAGTGGATTCCCCTCCTGGGTCTAAAGTCAGGCCATAGCCAAATGACTGTAATTCTTGAAATTGTGCAGCTTTTAGCCTGACACAAAATAAATATTTGGACCTAAATGTCACCAGCAGATTCACTCTCATCTCAAACTCAGTCTGGGGCATGGGGCCCAAGCAGAATTTTCCGCATTATCTAATCATCCTTCCCTGCCCAGTGCCAAGTACAGAGATTATGTCTACACAGCAACGCTCATGGTGGGTAATTCCACGGCCATGATAACAGGCACTAACCTTTATTAGTGTGTAGTCTGTGTAATGCTAAATGTTTGCTTTTGGTGTATTTATATTTTGTTTAGGCTTCCCTGATGCTTTATTTTAATTTTACAGCTGAGGCTCAGAGACTTGCCTGAGGCTACACAGCTAATCTGTGGTGGATCTATGCTTGGGACCTTAAAGTTCTGTGTTTCTCCTGCTATGCTACAGCTGCCTTCAGTCTGACTGACCCAACGCGTTAAAGGGAAGAATCCCGACAATACCTGCAATGGAGGTTGCTGCTTCTCCGGATCCCTCTGAAGAAGTGGGAACAGTGGCATCTGTTGGGAAGTTGGCTGTTTCGGCTGTGTGGGTCTCTTCTCCTGAGTACAAAGGGCTTGAGGACTCGACTTCTAGATGCACCTCTGCAGGGTGCTTGCGCTGCTGGGTCCACTGGGACTCTGGAGAGCTGGTGCTGAAGGTGACACCCAGCCCTGAGCTGTGACCAGACGGTTCTCCGCTGGTTTCAGTCCTGTCTCCCGAAGCCACGGTTACGTCCAAAGGTGCGCTTGAGGCCTCTATGCCCACCTGGGAGGTGATGACTGACTTTCCATTCACTTCCGGGGCAGCTGACCCCTCCTGGGGGCCTTCCAAAAAGGTCCAGGGGCTGCTGCTCATGCCCAGGCCTGAAGCTTGATCAAGATCTGCTTCATGGAGGGCAGAAGTAGTTTCACTTGAATCAGGGGACCCAGACACCTCTCCGCTGGCCTCAGGGACAGCAGGTGCACTCACGCCAGGCTTAGGATAGGCAGATGACTTACTGCTGCCTTCTGGGACTGGCAGTGCCTCTACTCCCGAGCCAGGGAATGTTGCTGTTGTTCCACCAATGTCCCCAGATGCAGAGGCTTCCCCACTGGCCTCAAAGATCCGGGGTGTGTATGTCACAGGGGGTCTTTGGCCAAGTTCCTGGGAAACAGTTGCTTCTGTTACACTCTCCACTAACTCAGAAGTGATTAACGTGACTTCTGGAAGCCCAGAGGTCTCCCCGCTGCTGCTGGTGGCTGCAGAGGATTCTCCACTTACATCAGCAGTGCTGGAAAAGTCACCACTAAAATATGGAGTACTCAGTGGCTCTCCGCTGGGTTCTACCAGCCCAGATTGCAGTCCACTTTGGTCCAAAAATCCAGAATGGTCTCCAGACACTTCTGGCACTCCAGATGGAGTACCACTAAGTTCCAAAACACCGGAAGACCCCTCTCCAGATTCTTGGGCTGTTGGATGTTGGGTTACAGACTCCACCAAGGTTCTATCTATAAGAGAGACAGTGGGGAATCCGGATGGAAGTCCACTGCCATCGTACGCTCCCGAGGGAAGATTGCTGCCAGTCTCAGCTCCAGAGAATTCTCCACTGACTTCAGCTACCCCACTCGGTAGGCCACTGAATTCTGGGGCTGAGGATGTAAACCCACTGGCATCGATTGTTCCAGAAGATTGTTCACTGATGTCCACTTCCCCAGATGTGCCTGACAGATCCGTCTCCCTGGAAGGGAAGCCACTGACTTCCACAGATCCTAAGCCTTCTTCTTCTTTAAATGTAGTAGGAGTCACTTCCATCAAACTGGTGTCCACAAATGTAATGCCAGGAGGTTCCCCACTGCCACTCATGGTACCAGAAACCAGGTCAAGGATTCTAGGTGTTGTCCCACTGACCTCTGGCAGTCCTGATGGCTGTCCACTGAGATCAGGCCCTGTAGATGTTTCTCCACTCAGGTCTGTTATGCCAAATGGTTGGCCACTGCCAAAAAGAACTCCAGATGCTTCTCCACTGACGTCTGGTTGTCCAGAGGGTAGTTCACTGAGCTCAGTCATTCCAGATGTCTCCCCACTGGAGTAAGGAGATGCTGAAGGCTGCCCACTGACCTCAGAAATCCCAGATGTTCCCCCACTGATGTCAGGAAACTCAGACGGCTGTCCACTAACACCAAAGAATCCAGATGTTTCCCCACTGATGTCAAGAGATCCAGATGCTTGGCCACTGACTTCAGTTCCTGAAGGGAGTTCACTTGTTCCCCCACTAATGTCCAGCTCATCAAAGGGCAGCCCAGATATTTCCCCTGTGCCACTGATGCCAATGGTTCCCCTCCCTTCCAGTTCACTTGCACTGGTGGCTGTGACCACTTCTACCAATGTCGTATCCACTAGGGAGACTGTTGGTAACCCAGATGGAAGTCCACTAAAGTCAGGCAGGCCAGAGGAGGGGGCACTTCCAAAGTCCACTCCAGAATACTCACCACTAACTCCAGAGGGAAGACCACTTGCATCTGGAACTTGTCCACTTCCTATAGTTTCAGAAGGCAGTTGGCCAAAGGCCAAGTCTCCAGAAGCAGATCCCACCAAGTCTTCTTTTCCAGAAGGCAACCCACTGAGGTCCTCTGCTCCAAAAGCTGAAGTCTCTAAACTCTCTCTTCCAGAAGAAAATCCACTGAGGTCATCCCTTCCTCCAGAAACAGAGGTGTCTAGACTTTCTCCAGAAGGAAGCCTGCTGATATCCTCTATTCCAGAGGCAGAAGTCTCTAGACCTTCTCCTCCAGAAGGAAACCCACTCACATCCTCCACTCCAGAGGCAGAGGTCTCTAGACCTTCTCTTCCAGTAGGAAGCATACTTATATCCTCTACTCCAGAGGTTGAAGTCTCTAGATCTTCTGAAGGAAGTCCACTGAGATCATCTGCTCCAGGGGTAGAAGTCTCTAGACCTCCTCCAGAAGGAAGTCCACTGACTTCTCCAGAGGCAGAAATTTCTGAGCCTTCTCCTCTAGAAGGAAGTCCACTGACTTCCTCTGTTCCAGAGGCAGAAGTCTCTAGACCTTCTTCTCCAGAAGGAAGTCCACTGACTTCCCCT